GTAAATTAAATACTAAACAGATATTTACCATGTCCACCTGAAAAGGAAATTGGTCTAGTATGTGTCTATTCTTTTATATTTCAATGTATAATTCATCTCTAAATAAAGTTATATGGTCTCACTAAAAGTGGGTTATCTTCAATAAATGAATTCATCTTGAAATATTAGTGTGTTTACTTCCTTTTGGTGTGTTTTCTTCCTATTTTTGCACAAACAACAAATATTGCTTTTTTGAAAGAAAAAAAAGATACTCATTCATTCCCAGATACACACTGTATTCATGGAGATACAATCATTAAGAGATTATATGTGGCCTCTGGCCTCCTGAAGTGTACATTACAGTCCAACAAGTAGAAATGGTAATGCAATGTGAGAACTACTGTGGCTGGGGAAATACAGTGTACTATGAGAACATGAGAAGGGCCAATTACCCTGCTTAGGATAGGGTAGAGGTTGGAGAAAGAAGTGAAGTCTTCCTGAAAGAAGTAATCTAACCTGCAGGATGAATAGGATTTATCTAGCTGAAAAGGAGCCAGAACAATGTTCCAGGAAAAGGAAGAGCATGTACAAAACTTTGGAGGATAGAGGGAATGAGATAAGTAAAAGTTTCTAAAAGATGTTCAGATTGGCTGGGCTGGGGAAGAGGAAGAGGAGGGATGAATAAGAAATGAAAGTAGTTTCAATAGTTTTAAATATTTTTGAGATTTTCTAATGGGCAATGGGGAATTACTCAAGTTTAAGCAAGAAAATGATATAAAGAGATATATTCGCACTTCAGAAAAATAACTAGATTTCCCAGCACCATGTGTTGAAAAGGCAGTCTCTTCCCCAGTATGTAGATTTGCTGGCTTTGTCAAAGATCAGATGGCTGTAGGCATATGGGTTAATTTCTGGGTTCTCTATTCTGTTCCATTGATGCATGTGTCTGTTTTTATGCCAGCATCATGCTGTTTTGATTATTATAGTATTGTAATATAGTTTATAGTCAGTAGTGTTGTGCCACCAGCTTTATTTATTTATTTATTTTTGCTCAGGATTACTTTGGCTATGCGTGGTCTTTTGTTGTTCCATATAAATATCTGGATGGCTTTTTCCATCTCAGAGAGAAATGTCATTGGAATTTTGATGGAGATTGCATTGAATTTGTAGATCACTTTGGGTAATATGGACATTTTCACAATGTTAATTCTTCCAATCCAAGGGCATGGGATATCTTTCCATCTTCTTGTGTCCTCTTTAATTTCTCTCAACAGAGGTTTGTAGTTCGCTTTGTAGAGATATTTCATATCCTTGGTTAGCTTTATTCCTAAGTATTTTATTTTTTGGTGCCTATTGTAAATGGGCTACCTTTCTTGATTTCTTTTTCTGCATGTTCACTGGTGGAGTACAGAAATGCTACTGATTTTTGTGTGTTGATTTTGTACCCTGCAACTTTGCTGAAATTGTTTATCAACTCTACGTGTTTTTTTATAGAAGTTTTAGGCTGTTCAATATATAGGATCATATCATCTGCAAAAAGGGACAGCTTGACTTCATATGTAGAAGAATGAAACTAGACCCGTATCTTTCACCATATACCAAAATCAACTCAAAGTGGATTAAAGAATTAAATATACACCCTGAAACAATAAAACTCCTTAAAGAAAACATAAGGGACACACTCCAGGAAATAGGAGTGGGTACAGAATACATGAATAGGACCGAAAAAGCACAGGCAACTAAAGGTAAAATAAACAAATGGGATTATATCAAACTAAAAAGCTCCTGCACAGCAAAAGAAACAATCAACAGAGTAAAAAACCAACCAACAGAGTGGGAGAAAATATTTGCAAAATATACATCTGACAAAGGATTAATATCCAGAATATAAAAGGAACTCAAACAACTTTACAACAAAAAAACAAATAACCCAATTAAAAAATGGGCAAAAGAGCTGAACAGACATTTCTCAAAGGAAGATACACAAATGGCCAACAGACACATGAAAAAGTGCTCAGTATCACTCAGCATCCAGGAAATGCAAATCAAAACCACACTGACATACCATCTCACTCCAGTTAGGAAGTTAACATCCAAAAGACTGAGAATGAAAAGTGCTGGAGAGGTTGCTGAGAAAAAGGAACTCTCATCCACTGTTGGTGGGGCTGCAAAATGGTACAGCCTTTATGGAAAATGATATGGCAGTTCCTCAAACAATTACAGATTGATCTACCATATGACCCAGTGATCCCACTGCTGGGAATATACCCAGAAGAATGGAAATCATCACGCTGAAGGGATACCTGTACTCCAATGTTTATTGCAGCTCTATTTACAATAGCCAAGAGCTGGAACCAGCCCAAATGTCCATCATTTGATGAGTGGATAAGGAAACTGTGGTATATCTACACAATGAAATACTACGCTGCTATAAAAAAGAACAAAATACTACCATTCACAACAACATGGATGGACTTAGAGAAAATTATATTAAGTGAAACAAGTAAGGCACAGAAAGAGAAATACCACATGTTCTCACTTATTTGTGGGAGCTAAAAATAAATAAATACACAAACAAATAAAGGTGGGGGAAGAAGACAGAATAACCACAAAATTTCCTTGAACTATTAAAGCCAAGTGCACAGATACAATGGGGGGGGGAGGTAGGGGTGGGGAGAGGAATGGGTAAAGGGGCATGAAAATCAAATACAATGTATTTTGAGAAGTAAAATAAAATAAAATTAAATTAAAAAATAAAAATAAAATAAGAAATTTTAAAAAAGAAAAATAACTAGAGTTAAGAATGGAGAAGAGTTTGGAGTCAGGAAGAGAGGAAGGGAAACCATCCAATATCTAGATAAGGTAGACTCTCCCTAGGAAGTGTCAAGGAAATAGAGAAAAATGGCACAATTCTCAAAATTCAGCATTCAGGAATAGAGTCTAAAGATTTGGTGATTGTTTAAAACCAGGGGGTGAACAAGAAAGAAAAATCTTTAAAATGATGCCCAGTTTATCTTACTCCTTAGTAAAGGGTTGATGTCTAGCATAAAGAATATTTTATTAATTTGTATAATAAAATTTTCAATTTTTATATGTGAGCTCGGATCTAAAAATAATTTATGGAAATCAATTGCTTTATTTTATAGCCATTTATATAGTAAAAAGTCCATTTAATTTCTATGTAATTAGCCTAATCATAACATACATATCTACTTTTAAGAAAAGCAGTATTTTAACATATTCATTTTGCTATTAAGATATATAATTTCAAAACCGCAGGGGGGAAAAGGCTGGATCAAAAATGTACAACTGTGATGAAACCTTTATAGTATTCTAACTTTCTAGTTTTCTCATTTTTCACACTCTTATACTGAAAGAAAAATAAAATTGTGTGTAACTTAAAGATATATTAACTGAATTTTATATAACCCAATGTATCCAAAATATTATCATCTCAACATGCAATTCAATATAAAATTATTACTGAACTACCTGAACTATCCGGTGTATATTTTACATTTACAGTACATCTCATTTCAAATGCTGAGTAGCCTCCTGTGCCTAGTGGCTATTGCATTGGATAATTCTGCTCTAGAACACAGAAAAACACACCTAAAAGGCTGCTTGTTCTCTTACTGTGTCATAAAAGGTTGGAAGATGGTCATAATGAGGAGAGGTTAAAAAATAAAAATTAAAATTAGTAAAATTATTTGAATATTTGTTTTGCTGTGTAGATATGGCCATTATGATAGAAAGTCAAAATTAAGATAGAACCAATGAAAGTTGAAACTTTGCTTATAAGGTGACAGGGGTCAAAAAAAACCCAGAATATGTATTCAAAAATCCAAAATCTCAAAACACTTTCAAGCATCAAACTTTAATCCATCTAAAATAATACATTTAAACACCGCCTGTTCAATTTTAACTTATATATCTCCTGGCAATTACTTCATTTGGAAGTGGTAGCTTTTCTTGACACCAGTAGTTTAGTAAATCCATGGCAGGAGATTGCAAACCAGTTTCCATTTTGATTTAATGCTGTTTTACGTTTATAAGAACAATGTCACTATGTAAACAACAGACATTTTGATTAAACACTAAAGTTCTTATTTTGGCTGTTAAATCAATAATGCAGCTGGATTGAAAGTAGTTTACATTCCCTCAAAACTGGGCTTCGGTTCAGCTAGTATCGCACTGACATCATTTTCCAGCAAGATCTGTCTGCTTTCAGCAGCCAGTTTAGAAATAATCCTTTACAAACAACCACATAATTTTCAATGTTAACACATTTCAAGAAGGTCTCACAAATGCTAGTGCTTAAAATAGTACAGTCAATCCAGAAATAGTCTTTCCTCTAATGTGTAATTTGTTAGTAAAAACTTTTAAGGTAATTTTAAAAAGAGTGTAAGATAAAGGCCTTTGGTGACATTATCTAGCTTTTTCACCTGAAACTACTTTGGTAGGTTTCCTATTTTCCCCTCTATAGTAGATTAATTAATATATAACTCACAGCAATGGCTCTCAAATTTGTTTTGGTAACAGAACACCTGAAAACCCTGGTGCTTTTTCCTAAACAAGAGCTCCAGGTAGAACTTCATAAATGCTGATATACTGTTTAATTATACTCTATAAACTAGAGTATTATTACAAATAGAAAATAAAACTATATTATTTGTCTAAAACATAAAAACATAACAACTAGCATATGTAACCATTAAAAAAAAAAAGGCAGTTGAACAGATCACAAGAGACCATTGGAGTTTTTTAGATAATGGTGATTTATGACTTGCATATTCAGTGTCAGCAACCAGAAGTTAAAGAAAAAATATAAAACAAAAATGCTAAAATGTATCCAAGACCATCCAATATCTACGATTTTATGTGAATTAGAAAAAGATCACTATGATTCCATTTCAGCAGTAAGACACTCTTACCCAGCTGGCTGAACAGAAGTATTCTAGAGACTATCTTTAAGAACTGAAAACCCAAAACTTTCAACTATAGGGCCTCAGAATGCTTACCTGTAGAAATTCTCTGACATTAGATCCCAGGACACGCAAGATTGTATCATAACCAGATTCTTGACAAAAAACGAAAAACATCTTCCCAAACATTTGGAGGATTTCTCCAGCATTGAGATCTATTTATAGTTTTGAGACAGAAGAAAAATTAAAAAGCATATCATAGATAGAATATTATTTATGGGCAGAATGAAGATAACTGCATATTAAAATAATTTAAAATACCCTCAATTTTTATGCAGAGTGAACACAGGTCACATAAATAAATTCTGGCCAGGACAATACAATGAAATCTGAAAAACAGTGTATAAATGTGAAAATTTTTACTTATAAGCAAAGCAATCAGTTTCTTAGCTTCCATAAAAAACTACTTAATTTTGAGCTTTTAAAGCATGTATTTAATGGATTATTTATTTTTTATTTTAAACACAGAAAGATTTCAAAATCGTCAAGAATGGGGAATAATGAGACGTTGGTTAATGGACATAAAATTACAGCTAAATTGGAAAAATAACTTCTAGTGATATACATGGGTGCTAGACATCTAAAATTAATAATAATTTATTGTATGTTCTCAAATGGCTAGAAGAGAGGAGCTTAAATGTTCTAATCACCAAGAAATGATAAATTTTTGTGATGATGAATTTGCTAACTATCCTGATTTGATCAATACACACTGTATCCGTGTACTGAAATATAACTCTATACTGCATAAATATATACAATCACATTTCAATTAAAAACTAAAAGGAATGAATGCACATGACAATATTTCAGTGCAAACTGATCTTTTCTTTACATAAATAACTTGACTGCATATAGTACATGACCTAAGGTCCTCTATAGAGCTTGTAGAAGAAAGAATCGGATTCAACAAAGCTTGGACCTAACGTCATATGTGAACATCCTCACCACTCGTGCTGTGCAGTACACAACTTGTAAAACTATACATGTGATCTTGAACCATGCATTCCTCCAGGCATCTATGTGTAACTTGGTCAAAGAAGAAAAGCTGTATTCAACTTACTGAGGACTTTGCTTGCAGCAGCAACCAAATCATAAGTTTTGGAGTCATCATATATTATTCTGACAAGAAACTGTCCCTCTTCATCTAACTGTGCCTCCTTTCTGGAAAACAAAAATGAGAAAGAGATAGGAGGAAAATTTTGAAATAAAAGAATAACTACTGTAGCTAAAATGATTGTATAAACAATGGTTTTATAACCGAAACAGGATTTGGTTTTTGCAAATTTGTTTAAATCAACATCACGTACATAAAAGTCCAGTGATTAAGCAGAAATTATGTCATATACCCCTCCCTAAATTAATATATTTAAGTATATTTTAGCAAGACTAACATTTCTATAGTACTATAGTGCCCAGTACAATACCTGATATTAAATATAATCAAGAAATAATTTTTAAATATAATCAAGAAATAAATGCTCAACAAATATTTGTTGAGTCCCTGTATGTGCCAGGCATTGTTCTCGGCACTAGAGATACAATCTTTAGTAAAACAGACAAAATTCCCCGACCTCTTGGAGCACACATTCTAGGAGAGGAGACAGACAATACATAAAACTAATACATAACATATAATGGTAAGTACTTTGGAGAAAAATAAAGCAGAGTAGAGCAGTGGGGAGCTGAAGTACAATAGCCAGGAAGGCCTCACTGAGAAGCTGGTATTTGAGCAGCAGCTGAAAGAGCTCAGGGAGTAGGCCACGAGCAACCTGGAGAAGCATATTCCAGGCACAGGGAAGAGCAAGTGCAGAGGGCTGGGCGGAAGTATGCCTGGCGTGTTGGAGAACAGCAGAAGCCAATGTGGCTGGAGCAGAAGAGAGGCAAAGTGGCTGTAAGGGAACGGGTCAGAGAGATAGCAAGAGGCCACAGTGTTTGAGCCCAATCAGACATTGGAATGATTGGCATTTACTTGAAAGAGATGATGTGTTTTGGCACTTGTGATATGATGATACGAACTGTCCTAGGATGAAAGGATTAATCTGGCTGCTGCACTGAGAATGTACTAAAGGCCTGTAGGATGGAGTGGGAAGATCAGGCCGGAGGCTACTACCAACATCCAGGGGAGAAACGCTGGTGACTTGAATCAGAGTGGAAGCAGTTGAGAGGCTGCGAAGTGGTTCAAATGCAGATAGATTCTGAAGGTAAATTCAATGTGATTTGCTGATGGATTGGAAACAGGATGTGAGGGAAGGAGAGGACTCAAGGATAACTTTTAGGTTTTTGGCCTGAGTAACTGGAAAGATGTCATCAGTAGCTGAATTGGGAAAGCATGCTGGAGGTGAACTGGGGGTTAAGATCAATAGTTATGTTTTAAACATATGAAGTTTAGGATGTCTTTAAACATATTAAGTTAGAGATGCCAAGTAGAATGATAAAATCTTCAAATATATCCTCAGCTTATTAAACACAGTAGCTTAAAATATACACAGTATTAGTGAAGGGAAATTATGGTTTTCATTTTTAACAGTTGTCATAATTGTATAAATATATTTATTTTGATAGGATTTGGATTACTTTTCCCAAACAAGTGTCCAAAGGGGAGGGAGAACCCATTGTTTAAAACGTTGTCAGCTACAGAGGTCAACTGACACATTCCCAGATATCTTTTCCAATATTAAATTCACACAAATACATGCAGCTTGGATATCAACCTCTGACTCTCAATCCAGCTCATCTAAGTCTCTATATGTTGCCAGGAGAATACAAGGGAAAGTAACTACTATAATTAGGTGCATTTTCAACACAGGGGCTCAAATAACTCCTTAAATATCGTAGGCCACAGTCACATTCTCTCCCTCTGAAGCTGTGCTATCACAGCTGCTGCTCCTGGCTAGACTTGTGCCTGCTCAAGGTAAAAATTCCAAATGGGGGCATGTCTTATATCACCATCACGTACATAAAAGATACGTGATGAGAGAGACAGAGATACTCTTAAAAACACCCTATGTTCTTCAGAGCATGCCATCTATCTGCCTGCAGTTATCCATAACACTGCATGTAAAAAATAAATACATAAAAATAAAAATAAAAAAAGAGCATGACTTTCATTTTGGTAAGCACAGAGATCTGAACTGCAAAGCCCAGAATTTGCTAACTAAACAAACTTGGGCAAATCACACACAACACATGAGCACTAAAGCCTCTCTTTTCTAAAATGGGAGCAACAACGTAGCTCCTGTTCCATAACCGTAAGGAGCTAGAGAGTGCAAACGAATGTTCTAAGTGGTTAAAACTCTATACGTATTACTAATGACTACAGTACTTTCCATGTCTACATACTCAAACAATTATAGACCTTTATATAAATTGTAAAATTTTTCTCCTTTTTCCCAAACATACCCAGCTTTTAAATGAAGGGGATGCAGCTGTTCAAAGACCTCATGTCTTTGTTATATCCAAAGTCATTGAGATATCCAAAAATTATGAAAATATAATGTACAAACAGTGACTTATTCTTTGACAAATACTATTACACATTTTATTCATTTTAATTTCTTTT